GTCAATGACTCCACTCAGGTCAAACTTTCACTTTATTATCAGCCTTTTAACTTCCAGCATACTGCCTGACAACTTTAGCACACACACTGCTTAACCTTTTGTTTCTTCCATCTTCAACACTCTGCCCTCCAATATTCCTGACTYCTTATTCCACAGCCTGAAGACTATCTGGTTAAAAAAACAAACTGAGCCTGCTGACTTCATCTGCTACAGGGAAAGCTCTTCTTGATTTCAAAAAAGAAATTTAAAAGAGCTGATCAATGAACTATTCAATTCATCACAATTTTACCTTTTACCATCTCCAGAGTCATCATGAAACAACACAGCATGCTGATAAGAACTTAAATACCTTAGATTTTTTTTTCTAAATTGCTCTTAGCTTTCTAATTGTCATTTTCAGGTAAAGATCCTTTGTTCACATATCTATTTTTACTGTTTGAATACCACTCTATATCTTGTATTAAGAAAATAAATGTTTCTTGGGAAATGCTTGGGAATTTGCAATAAAAAAAGAGATTTTTTTTAAGAAGACATGGTATGATTTTTGTAAATRATAGTAAAAAAAGAAATAAGCACACAAACCACTTGTCTATGATAAAGCAAAGGTGAAATTGTTCCTGGAATATAAAATTACATGGAGATAACAGAATATGAAAGGTAGTACATCAATGACACTAGTCACTCTGAGATGTAACTGAAAAAAAAAAAAAAGAAAAAAAAAGAAAAAAAAGGAAAAACCCCATGCCTTCTCTTTCTAGGTAGCACAATGCCATATGCCTCATTTTTATGTTGTAACTTGAATCGGGCACCAACTTTTGCACCCACCAAGTGGCTAACACAAATGTACATAAGCTTGTCAAAAGGACTTTTTTTTTTTTATTCTGTTTTGTTTCATTTAAAAATAAATTTTAGAGATTGCTAACATATAGTTACAAACATCATGGTATGATACAAAATCTAAAAGATCAACTTTTGATYACAGAAGTGAGACAATTTTATCTATCTCTTATGCCAAGTGTGGCAGTTAGTGAGACGAGGGAATCTTAGGCTATGGGCAAGAGGCTTTATCATACCATGCACGTTAGGTGCAAATTTATAAAAACATGTAGGCATGCAGCATAGAAATCAGTGAGACTTAGTCACTGAAGGAGAAGTTTGCTGTCTAAATTAGAGGATTTGAGTCAATTAATATAAAAGCTAATATATTTAGCGTGAAGATTATGTAGTTCTGTAGTTACAGAACAATGATGTACAGTGTGCTTTCCCACAGTCTGAACAATATACTGAACAACTGTTAATCATTCTCAGTATTTCACAGGATCCAGCCTAAATCTGTGACAACACCATCAGCATTTTAGATTTACTCCTCCAAGAGGGAGAGCCACCTCCAACAGAGCAAGAGACGAGTTCTGTCTTTGATTCATATTGCTTTGCTTGTACTAAGTGTAGGCAGTCCTCATCACACTGCACAAACTGTAATGCACCCATTTTATTGCAGGTTGCCATTTGAACACAGCTGCCAAGAGAAAGATGGTCATTACTTGGTTATGTTTAACCACTCTCCTCTTGCAGAAAAGAGTGGGATACACTGATTTCAAGTGGCATTGAAGTTGACACTGTCCTTAAAAAAAAAAAAAAAAAAAAAAATTCCCAAGGTTCTGTAAGCCATGCAATGAAATCAAAAACTGGATTTGGAATTGCCTCTATATCATTTACATGCCTATTCCTAAATTTCTTACTACATAATCTTTAATTTCTCTTAAACCAACCATTCTTGATACTACGGACACCACATTGTAATCCTATTTCTAAATCTGAACTACTCAAATTATTTAGCCTCATCCTTTTTATTAAAAAGCTAATTGAGACTCTCATCACTTGATATTTAGATATTTTTTAATTTCTACTCTGCAGCTTCTCTTCTCCTCCCACTATGCCTTCCCCCAGGCCTTATCACTAGATATTAAACAAACAAAAGTCATCTTACATTTTATCTTCATTTTCCTCATTTTAGTGGTGCATGACCTGAACTGTTCCAGCTGGAATTCAATTTTCTTGAACAGGACCAACCAAAACTGTATGCCCCATACAAGGTCTTTCGCAATGTTACTAACATTTCATYGTCTGAATGAAAATACCTTATCTGATGTAGCCTAGGATTTCATTTTATTTTTTAACAGCTGTAGTGTATTGGCAACTCACACTTCTCTTATGAATTGTTAGTATTCCAAGTGAATTCCTCTTTTCCTCAATCACTTCTATCGGTTGATAATCTCACAGTTTATAGTTTATAGCAGAAGTTTCGGTTATTAGTCTCCAAGCACCTAATCATCTTGTATTCTTGAATTTCATCCCAGTGTTTTACACCACTCCTTTAACAATCCTGCTCTTCCTTGCTGTGTCCTCACCATATTCCTAAGCCACTAAAATTCCATTTTAACCTATGGGAAAATGTAACATCAAATGTGTAGGACGGGACCAACGTCAGTCTTTTCTGAGCACGAAACCTTCTACCAACAGGTTGTCCCTAGACCAGAGCAAAAGMGCCAAGCGGCTGATATGCAGCCCTATCCTTTATGCTCAGCTCAACCTTTCTTCAAAACAGAACCCTGTGCACCCAAGAAATTGCAAGTGCCCTGTGTCACTATCAGTAGCGATCTTGATCACGGAGCAAAGAATCCCCTTATATAAAAGACAAGAACAACAACTGAGGAAAATGGAAGCAGAAGACAAGGTGCTGCAACAAGAACAGGGTGCGCTACTGACGGGTCAAGTGCGCAATTGTTTATCTGAGTAGTACATAATTAATAATATTAATGAATGAAATGGAGAAACTAGTAAATTTTAYTTATTTTCTATCTAGCTGTTGGACCAAATACCTTCTGCTTTTCACGTCTCTTTTTCAATAATTTCACTGCTCATGAATCTTTGTGTTTTAAAGTTAAATATAGCTTTAATAATCCTAAAAATTACTGTCTACAGGAAGCATGAAAATGAAGGCAAAACAAAGATCCAAGACCTCCAGCTATTCACTTTAGGCCCTATTGTTTTGCCTCAGACACAGCTCCAGGTGTTTTAACATGGACTATTACAAATTTCTCAATATAGTATATGAACAAATCTATACACACTTGTTTTTTCAAAGAAAATTCAATGTTTTTACTTTTACAAGAGCACTGGTAATAACACTCTAATAACACCTACATTTTACTTTGTGCTTAAAGAAAACTGAAAAAAAAAGAAACCAAACCAACTCCCTGTTTTCATTAGATGTGAAAGCACTAAATTACTTTTGGGAAACTGTTTTCATACCCACCCTTTCCCCTTTTTTATTTCTTTGCGCACCTGAAGAATTGTGGTTACAATGTGCCTGCAACTGTCTTGCATGCACTGATCAAAATAACAACAAAAATCATTTTTTACTACCACCAAATGAGCTACTATGGATGTAGTATCACATAAAGAGGAACACTTTTTTTCCTAAAGAGGCTTACTACAGAACTAATTCAAGCATCAGGGAAATGGAACAATTTAATTGCTTTAAAGGCTGTTTTAGTGTCTGTGAGATTTAAAAAAAAAAAAAAGAGAGAAAGGAAAAAAAAAGATTTCTGTACAGATTTCTGTAAAATTATTTAAAGTATCTAACCAAAAAATCACAGAGAGATAATGCAGGAGCTGATGTTAGAATATAAACAGTGCCCAGCTCTGGATTTAATGTGATTAGCATCAGTGCCTGGGCAGGCCATGCAGCTTGTAGTCACATCAACCTGCACTGGGAGGTTGAGCAGCAAATTCTCATGGTCGCTGCTGTTACTGAGGGAGCCACTTTTCTGGAACCTTGCGGGAAGAAAAAAAGGGCAGTGAGAATGAAAGAAAGTATAGTCACTGAAAAGCACTACAAAAATGCAGCAAAAGTTACAAGCATCCATTAAAATAAAGAAGTCCATCATTTTTTGTTGACTTGTGAATTTCTGGGAAGATATCGGGGTTTGTCTTTTACTTCAAACCCTCTCTTTGCTGCAATAGACCTTAAACCATTCGGATTCTCTGTTTGATAGACGGCAGAGACTGATGCAGCTGAAGTGGCAAACTGAGGTATTTTAAAGACATTTTTTAGAAGTGTTCTCCACCTTTGATGTTACACTGCTACCCAACAGGATCAGCATTTCAGTTGCTTATGGCAGAGAAAAAAAAACTGTATCTAGCCTTGGTATAACCAAAAGGTACTTAACCAGAAGGCAGATATAATGGACAGCAAATGCACTTTTTTAAGCCACGACTTTAAACCAATTCTGTTGCAGGCCTAGTTCATGACTTTTGTTAGTTCAAGTGCCTACTTATCCCTGGAGTCTCGCTCCAGTAGCATGACAAGTCAAGCACAATAGGCCTTAACAATATATGGGCTATTATAGGGAAGCCAACCCCATGCTCCAAACAACTTCCTTTTTTTGAAGTAGTTCACGCTCTTTATGGACATATTCCTGAGATATTCTTCCAGATTCACCCAGGCTCTCCCTCAACGCCTCTGCCAACTTCCTCCTTCCATCAGCTGCTTCCACAAGCCCTGGTCCTTGTCTGCCTGCCCAGGTGTCTCCCCACCCGACCTCTTCTCCCCCTCTCCAGCCTCTCCAGTTGCCTCCCGTGGTTGCTCAGGGCGGACAGCAGCGAGGGCAGCTGCCACCTGCCTGATGCCCTCCGTGGCAATCCCGCTGGCTCGGGCCAGAGCGAGCCGGGAGGGAGGCACCATCCCTGAGCCAACAGGCAGGACAGCGGATGTGACACCGCGAGCGGCAGCTCCGCCAGGGCTCAGGCCGCCTCTGTGGCGAGATGGGCACTGGCGCGTTAACAACGGCAGCCGTTTCCCGCGGCGCCGGAGCGCGGCGACCGGCCGCCCCTCCGCGCCCGGCCGCGCCACATGGCGGCCGCCGCGCCCCGGCTTCCCCCTGGCGGCGGCCGCGGCGCCGTCCCGCCCGGGCAGGGCGCGGGCTGCGCGGCGGTACCTGCGCGGGCTGCGGCGCCGCGGCCGGCTCGCCGATCCACGGCTGCTCCTTGAGGAGGTGCTGGTAGCTGAGGCAGTGCTTCAGCGCCGACGGCACCGTGCCCATGGCGGCCGCGGCAGCCGCAAGGTCAGCGCATCCCGCCGGCCGCGGGGGCCACGCCGCCGCTGCCGCCGCTGCCGCCTCTCATTGGCCGCGAGCGAGCGCGGGAGCCGCCGCGCCGCCATCCCCGCCTCGCCCGCCACAACGGCCGCCAACCGCCGTCAACCGCCGCCAACGGCCGCGCGCGGGGGCAGCCCTCGCGGGAGCGGCTCAGGTGGCCATGGCCACGGCAGCCTGCCCAAGTGGGGGGTAGCCAGCCCCGAGGGGAAGCCGCAGAGCCGCCCTCCACGTCCAGCTCCGTGTGGAAACTGTGCGCAGCCACCGGGAGATATCCCGAGCGGCGCTTGGAGTTAACCCTGATGGCGGCGGGAAGGAGCAGGGCGAGGAGAAGGGCCAGGGCTGCCGCAGGAGGAGGCGGCTGGCCMGGTTCGGCATCACAGGGCTGCGGCGGCGAAGCCGCATCACACATGTGCCCCTGGCATGCATCTCTCACGAGCAGGCTTATACGCSCCTTTGCTTTGAGGCTGTTCAGCTCTTGGGTAGCAGAAATTTAGACCACAGTAAAGGAGCCCCCTTCACGTTTTGGCAGCCCTTTCAAAAGCAGCAGGTTATATTTTGTCATCTCCTTCAGCATTCACTRTGTTAGCCGGCTTTCCAAGGTGCTCCCCAGTGAAAGAGCGGATGCATCTGAAATTGATCCTGGATCTTTCCAGGGTATCACTGAATTCTTGTTAAATTCACTAACCTTTCCCTAAGCGTTTTCTGCAAAAGATTAGCAGGTTTACAGCCCAGTCTCTGTCCCAAGCCTGTGCTGATAGGCGTGATGCTCTGCAAGCACTGTCTTTTCTGCACCTTTGGCTTGCAAGCTTGCTGTTCTCTGCAACAAATTCAAACCCTTCCCTCCCTCCTGAGTGCCACAGTGAAGAAAAACTGGATACTGTTGGCATGGTTTGGTCCTTTTTCTGAGGGAGGGGGGTACTGAAGATATTGAATCCCATCAGAATTATTTAAAATATTTTTTCAGAGCTTTCTATCAGACATTTCTACAATTTCAAAGCAGAGACAGAGGGCAGAGACAAGTGCCATGGTATTCGCCCACTAAGTTCTAAAGCAGTGACTTCTTTTTCTCTGCTTCCAATAAAATATTTGTCTATTCAAAATTCCTACCTTTTCATTCTGAGATTGCACAAAGTATCCAGTGAAGCTGAAGCTGAAGCTGAAGCTACTTTCTTGGGTCTTATTGCCTGGAAAGCTAGGGATAAAATTTCCAAAGCTAATACAAAGGCAAAGGAGATAAAATCAAGCCTTTCCTTTTGTTATGAAGAGAAAAACGCTTCATAGATATACTTTCTATACACTTYGTATCTAATTGGTATTAGAGTGAAAAATCCTGCTCGATGAGGTGGAGTGTTTCTGTGGATAACGCATATGTCTCTCTCCTGCCTACTTTGCTCTGTCTTTTCTAAGTTGCTGCATACTGAAGTCAAATTATTTGTACATTTCCATCATCTCTCTTACTACTTCTGACATCAGCTTCACTGTAACCTTCTGCAGAAGCTTATCCATCAAACTACTGCTTTTCCTTATTAAATCCCTTCTAATAGCAGTACTTCTCTGTCACTATTCCTATAAACATCACTAAACCAGAAAAGCACGCTGCCAAAATTGAATGTCTATTTTTACAGGGCTTAAAGCTTCAATGTGCTCTTCCAGGCTAAGACCACTTTGAACATTTTTTGACACATACCCATACTTCACAATTCAACCATTTCTCATTGTTATTCCTATTGTACATCTTATTCTCCCTGAACTCCAAATTTTGCTGGCATCCTTACCAATAGAATCAATTTTCAACTATTTCTCGTAATTCTTTGAAAAAAAATTATTTCAAAATCGAAAGATATACTTTTGTGAATAAAATATACTCACTTGGCTCAATTAGTTCTGAATTTCCATGTTTCTTCAGATAGAGACATCGCTTAGTTGTCTAAGAGAAGCACTATATTAAAAGCTTTAGAGCTAAACAAATCATTATTCCAAAGCAAGTGTCCTTAGGGACAACACAATGTCAAAAGTAGCTTAAAGAAAGATGCATCGCAGGCAGCAATGATCGTACTGCTACTGTTCTTTACTTATTGATATTGTTCTGTAATTACAAGGGTTAACTTATTCTACCCYCCACTGCATTAACACGAAGATAGATATGGTACAATATCCTGTTAAACCTTGTCTATCTTGAGTGATAGTACCAGTATATTTATTATTTGAAGGTTTTACAAAATAATGTGAGGAATAATAGAGACTTTCTGGCAGATCTTTCTGTAACACCATATGGGCCTCTCATGGTCTGGACCTTTATATGCCCTGTGCTGTTCTTTATTTTGATTCTGCATATTTTTTGTTCAGCAATGGCATTTTGGAACCACTTCAGTTTACTAGAACACATGGAAGGACTCAGATGTGTTTAATGCTGCATGAGGATAGTGAATAGAAATTACACATGACTGGCTTTTGGCTTTCCATCTGTCTCTTAAAACTATATATCATTGTGATACTCCTCTGAATCTATCATTCTCGCTGGCTCACACTCTTTTCTGGTCAAAGGTTTAAAAACGTTTATTAAAAGGAATGCTTTCCACTAAAGTAAATAATCCCTTGTAGAAATCATGCCACCAAGTCAACTAAATGGGAAGAACACACAAGCTTGTATAATAAACAGAGAAACTTGAAAAATCACTCTGAGAGGTGTTTCTGGCCTGCTTATTGTCCCCATGCAACTACACAGGTAGTTGGCAGCCCGATCATGACAAATGGAAACATCAAAACTGTTGGATTTCCCACAGCACGACACGAAACGTTGGCCAGGAAAGGCATGGTAAAAATAGGTTGATCAGTTACAAGCATCTAAAAGAAAACAAGAAAGTTGTTTAAAGAGTGATTTGATGACAGCAAGAAAGACAGAATCAGAAGCAAGGGAGCTATTCGTACTGCTGATAATCTAAGTGCCAAACTGGCAAGCTGCCAAGGTGCCTACTAGGCAAGGATCAAAGACACATATGGTGAGACTCAAACAACAAATAAGCCATAGCATTTTGGCAAGCTTTACAGGAATAATATGCTCCAGCCCTGACAATGAAGATGAGGCCTAAAGAAAAAACAACTGGGCTACCAASAGTGGATGATACCTCGGGGAAAGCAAAGCTTTCATCATTTCAGTTTTATTGGAGAAAAATGCAGATAACTTCTCACATATGGTGGGTCTGGTTGATCTAAATTGATGGGAAGTGTAACACAATGTTAAAAAAGATTCTTTAAAGTTGTGGCAGTAAATCAGTGTTCCATTAACAGCGGCATCATTCAGAAACAGCATTCTTCAAGGAGGTAGTAATAGATTTACTTTGCCAAAGTAAGACTTCACCCCAGGTGATAGACACCTGGCATTTAAAACAGAGACATTCACGAAGAAAGTCCTGGTTACATCTTGCCAGATGTTGGATTCTTTTCCATTCTTTCATCAATTTGATCAGATAGCCTTTTATTTTGTTTTGTTTTGTTTGCAAAACATGCAAAGAAAAAGAATACAAACATTCTGATTTTGTTGTAGTATTAGTAGACAATAAATAGAAAGGAAATTATGTTTAGACGTGCTTTCATGATCATAGGAATTATACAACTCCTTTTTGTTACACAGAAATAAAAGAATTTACAATAAGATGTGTAATTTTATGTTCATGAAGAAACTGCCTTGTGCATTTGTGAGAATGGTATTCTGCATTCTTTGGGTGACCCCGAAAGTGCCAAAATTGTATAGCTAAAAATTACTGTTATGAGACCTTTCAAAGAAAGCAGAGAATTGTGGCAGAAAGCGTTTATTTATGCACAACATTTTCCCTTTGAGGTATTTCTGTAACTGACAGAAATGCTGATGAACCCAGGGTGTCCTTTCTCTGACACCATYCGTTAGACTGTAAGGTCTTCATCTCAGTGACCTGATCTACCAGCAGGCACTGCTGAAACAGTGAGCCAGTTCCAGAACAGATTTTCAAGGCACTATTATAATATTTAAGAAAATATTTCCTTTGCAGAGCAAGTGCTTTGCCTACCACTACAGAGACTGCATTTCCATTTCTGTTTTTCACATAAATGCAGCTAATATCTCCCTCTCCACCCTGTGTTTTCTGCCAATAAATACTGATGTTTCTTATATGGATTATAAGGTGAAATATGCAGTAACCTCTGATTTCCCTTCTCCTTTTATGCTATTGACAGTCAACCGACCAGGCAGCATTAACTGTCAGTGGAGCCAATTTTCCCAGTCTTCCAGTGATACATCACTTAGTACAAAGTGATACAGAAGCTATATATTATCCTGAGGAAATTTTACAGAGTAAGGAGATACTGGGAGAGCTCTCCTGCCATTTCCTTTTCTTCCCAAGCATAGAGGATGCATCAGATAATAGAAGACAACCACCTGGCAAGTTTTCCTGTGCTGCGTTGTGGGCACAGTGCTTTCCAGGCAGAAAGGAAAGACCTGCATCATTGCTGTGTTATTTTAGGGAGCACTTATTTTTAGCCGCTTACTTAAGGATCAAATGAACCATRTGCTAAGGTATGCATTCGTCTCCACTGACTCTGCATGAGATTTGGTGCTAAACTCGATCTGTTAAGGGTCGGAGCTTTGGAGCATGGAAATTAAAGAGATGACTGCACTATCAGTCCATCTTGCAGACAGACCATCAGGGATGGATGTAGTTTCAGCCTGAAGGGAAAAGGAGAAGAGGTGGAGTGAAAGAACTCAAGTGTTTCTGAGATCACTCTCTAGTATAAGGACCTGTGTATTAAATCGCAAGAGAAATGGATTGATTAGTTGCTAACCTGTTCATTGGTGTCTTTATAGCAAAATCTAGCAGGATCTGATACGGAGGATCAAAGTTAGATAATGATCTAACTTTGTCATTTCAAGCTATTTCGATAGGCACCATTTAATAATTTTTTTTTGTGGGAGTACCAGAGAAAAATGTACTTTGTTT